TGCTAGAAAAATTTGCATACTTATGTAATATTAATCAGGCACCAAATTCTGCTGTTTTGAATTTTCAGCAAAGGAAAGCAAAACTACGCTTCCTGGCCTGCTCCTGGCCACTCCAGTGACTCATCTCTGCTGGCATGCAAGCTAATGAGGGTGAAGATTTAGAACTGCTGTTTCATAGAGAAAAAGGATTTGGGAGAGACAAGCTCATACATCCCATGCTTCATCCCTGCTCACTCTGACTCCCACGTGCATTGCCTACAGTACAGCTGAGAACTATGAAACTGCCTCTGTATGCAGGGGCAACCAATAGGAATACATACATCAAGGCCTTAGTTTGGAAATAAAGCAATCTTAAAAATCAAAGATCAACCACACCAAACGATACATATTTTCAAATAAATAAATGCATTTTTCATTGACTAAGGGAAATGCTGGATTGGGCTGGGATAGACTTAGTTGTCTTCACAGTAGCTAGAGTACAGCGCTGTGTTCTCGATTTGTGCTGAAAACAGGGTTGATAATTCCGGGATGTTTCTGTTACTGCTGAGCAGGGCTTACACAGAGTCAAGACCTTTTCTGCTCCTCACACTGCCCCACCAGTGAGGAGGCTGGGGGTACACAAGGACTTGGGAGGGAACACAGCTGGGACAGCTGCACCCAACTGATCACAGGGATATCCCACACCATATGGTGTCATGCTCAGCATTTAAAGCCGGGAGAGGAAGGGGGGCATGTTTAGAGTGACGGTGTTTGTGTTCCAAAGTCACCATTACACATGGAGCCCTGCTATCCTGGGGATGGCAGAACACCTGCTTACCCATAGGAGGTGATGGATGAGTGCCTTGTCCGGCTTTGCTCGTGTGCACAACTTTTGCTTTACCTGTTGAACTGTTTTTATCTCAGCCCATGAGTTCTCTCACTTTTACCCTCCTGATTCTCTTCCCCACCCCACTGGGGGAAGTAAGAGAGTGGCTGCACCGGGCTTTGTAGAGTTGGGGTTAAACCAGGATGAGGGAGAGGAACGGCAGAGGATCACCAATGCACCTACTTCCCCTCTGACACTGTGACACTGGCACTGTCAGCTGCTGCATTCCCCTTAAATAAACAATCTCTCTTCCTTCACTGCCTTCAGGAATCTATGCTGATGTTTTCCATCCCACTGGCAAACCTCACCCACAGCTGTAACTCCCTGCCCTCCTTAGCCCAACATTCGTTACCAAGGAAGCTGACATCAGTAACAGAAGCCCTCTCCCTCTTCCCCAGACCTACTTGCTTCATTTTACCTGCTTTCAGCACACTGGGCCAACTTCCACAGAGGACGATTCAGACAAGGTTCAATTTAAGGTGGCACGGAAGCGCTGCTGTCACTAACATACACAGGAATGGATGGGCACATCCTGAACACCAGCACAAAATGCCACAGCAGTAAAGCAGGGCTCAAGTTTTGACACTTGCTAGATAACTTATTGCTGTGCTGGTAATCTCTTCTGGGACTCTGCCAGTCAGATAGCTTGAAGTGAGACGCTTAGAGACAGACTTCAGTTCTATGATGCCTGATTCCCACTAGACATGTCAATGTTTAATTTATAATTTGCATAGTCCTAGCAATGGTTTCCTGCACAGTGTGACACTTGGCTGCAATACTTCACAGAAATCACTCCAGACAGCATAAACCTCCTGTTTCTGAGCTGCAGCTTCAGTTATAAACAGTGTTATTTCAAACACTTCAGGTTGAAAGTGTGGACTTTGCAAAATTTGACTACCATAGTAAGAATGTAAAGGACAGAAAATCTGGACCTTGCTGATTTTCAAAAGTCTCAAAAGAAAAGAATACTGGGTAGCTCCTTCTAGTTAAATGTGTGAAAACTCTAATGACCTCTTTCAAAATCATGCACTCTGAAAAAGATTAATCTGCTCTTTGTTGATTATTCAGCAAAGCAAGCACATAGCAGTGATGTGGTAAATTTTGTGTTTGAATGACAAAAAATGTCAAATCAGTAG